AAAAATATATATATATATATATATGTCTATGATGTAAATCAAACAGTCAAAAAGTTGTAAAAGAGGGCCAGGTGCGGTGGTTCACGCCTGTAATCCCTGTACTTTTGGATTACAAAAGGTGGGGGGATCACGAGGTGATCACAAGGTGGGGGGATCACGAGGGCAGGAGTTCAAGACCAGCCTGGCCAGCATAGTAAAACTCTGTCTCTACTAAAAATATAAAAAAAATTAGCTAGGTATGGTGGCAGATCCCTAGTCCCAGCTACTTGGGAGGCTGAGGTAAGAGAATCACTTGGACCTGGGAGGCGGAGGTTGTAGTGAGCTGATTGTGCCACTGCACTCAGCCTGAGCAATGCAGTGAGATTCTGTCTCAAAAAAAAAAAAAAGAAAGTTGTAAAAGAGATTTGTGTCGCATTTTCTTAGGAAAACCATGAATGTTTTAATAAATATATTTAATCTCAAGGTTTGCTATAGGCAAAATGGTCATTACATTAAAAGAATGATTTTCATACTGGAAATGAACTAAACTGAGTCAAAAGAACTTAACTGACAAATGTTTCATTTTCCTTTCCCATGTCTACCAAATATTTATGCCAAGGAGTCCACAATAACCTCATAATCAAGATGCTTCTTCACATACTCTTACCAAGATAGGGATGAACTATATGAAGAATACCAATATCTAAAATTATGCAGGTGCTATAGTATATGTTCTCCCTTTTAATATCTTAAATTCCTTCCATTTTTTTCCCCCTTTTGATTTCTAATTCTTGGATAACCCTCAGACACATGCATTTTACTAGAGAATAGGAGAAGCAGAGGAGGAGGAAGTAGAAATGCATTAAAACACTAGGCTGTGGTGTGGTACTGCAGTGTCAATAATGCTATACTGACTGATCACTGGCAGGGTAAGCTAGGAGATAAGATGGGGATCAAGTTTGGAGGAAGGAGGAGAGATAATGAATTCACTTCTGCACATGTTGAATGGGAGATACCTGCAGATTTCCCATTTAATCAATCAGTGGGCCCCAGGGATTAAGCAGATAGCTAAGATATACAGGCAGATATAAAATATACAATGATATACAAAGTTAGACAGATTCAGTCTAAATTTGAAAGATCAGGCAATATATAGAGAAACCTGAATGAAACCACTCCGAGTATACAGAGTAAGAAAATAAGTGGACTGGCTGAGCCCAGTGGCTCACACCTGTAATTTCAGAACTCTGGGAGGCTGAAGCAGGAAGACTGCTTGAGACCAGGTGTTTGAGATCAGTCTCTACAAAAAAATTTTTCAAATTTAAAATGCTTGGTGGTACACACCTGTAGTCTCGGCTACTCCAGAGGCTGAGGTGGGAGAACTGCTTGAGCCCAGGAGTTTGAAGCTTCAGTGAGCTGATTGTGCCACTGCACTCCAGCCTGGATGACAGAGTGAGACCCTGTCTCCAAAAAATAAAAATAAAAATAAAAATAAAAAAGAAAGAAAACAAGTGGACTGAGACCTTTGAAGAGTACACTTAATAGATAAAGTTAGAGTAAGAAGAGCTAATAAAACAAAAGCCCGAAATGTAGAAAGGAAGCCAAGAAAGACTGGTGCTACTTGTGGAGAATTTTGAGGAGGAGAAATAACTGACATCAATCCTCACACAATTAAGATGGGGCTTGAGAAACACCTATTAAATGTTTTAACCAGGAAGTCACTGGTGACCTTATTAGGAAAATGTCTCAGAGTGAAGATGAAGAAAAAGGAGACGGCAAGAATAGGGTAATTTTAAATTAGCTTAAGTATAAAGAGAAGCAGAACTACATGGCAAGAGTGAAATGCGGGGCCGGGCGCTATGGCTCACGCCTGTAATCCCAGCACTTTGGGAGGCCGACGCGGGTGGATCACGAGGTCAAGAGATCGAGACCATCCAGGTCAACATGGTGAAACCCCCTCTCTACTAAAAATACAAAAAATTAGCTGGGCATGGTGGTGCATGCCTGTAATCCCAGCTACTCGGGAGGCTGAGGCAGGAGAATTGCCTGAGCCCAGGAGGCGGAGGTTGTGGTGAGCCAAGATTGCGCCATTGCACTCCAGCCTGGGTAACAAGAGCAAAAAACTCTGTCTCAAAAAAAAAAAGAAGAGTGAAACATAAGATCCTGCATCATGAGAACATATAAAATGAAAGGGAACTGAAAAAAGGAGTCACTGGAAATGACAAGAAAAATGGAAGATACAGGAAAAACAATGCTTGTAATATTTTCTTCAAATTAACATCTGTGCCTCAACATTTTCCTCATTTGCTTTTACCCACAGGTATGATTACAGTTTGTTTCAGGTACCCGGGCTGAGAGAGAAGAGGTATATTTTCCAATAGAAAACTCTTTCTGATTCTACTCAACTCTAAGTTGGCTAGTGCTTTCTTCCCCAACTTTCTTTGCACTCAACTCTAAGTTGGCTAGTGCTTTCTTCCCCAACTTTCTTTGTGTGTGTGCCTGAGAGGGCATCAGTGTACCTGAGCACGTACAAAGACACACACAGCTTCAATCCTGTACTGATGTCTCTATTGTGGAAAAATGTACAACAAGGTCCCCAACTAGAAATCACAGCATAAGGATTCCTATTATTTTGTTATTTTCTCATTTTGAATGGAAAATAGTTTTCTTTTCCAGGAGATACACATTATGAAATTTAGTTTGAGAAAAACATGTTTCAATGAGAAAAAGAAAGCAATCATAAAACTGCTAGATTTTAAAATGAAAGTTCAGCAGGAATAATTGGAGCTTTCTAGATCAAGACTTCAGAATGCAGATCTGTCAGCAACTAGGTCTTAGGACTATGAGCCAGGTCTTCCACCTTTCTGGATCTTGGTTTTCTCAATCGTAAAATACGTTAATTAGAAGACAGCACTATTCCCGGGGGCAGTGGCTCACGCCTGTAATCCCAGCATTTTGAGAGGCTGAGGTGGGCAGATCACTTGAGGTCAGGAGTTTGAGACTAGCCTGGCCAACGTGGTGAAACCCTGTCTCTACTAAAAATAAAAAATCAGCTAGGTGTCGTGGCGCACACCTGTAATCCTAGCTACTTGGGAGACTGCTAAGGCAGGAGAATTGCTTGAACCCAGGAGGTGGAGGTTGCAGTAAGCTGAGATCATGCCACTGCACTCCAGCCCGGGCAACAGAGTGAGATTGTTGTTTAAAACAAACAAACAAACAAACAAACAAAGACATCACTATGCTCCCATCCAGTCTTAAGAAGAACATGATTCTAATCCTATGCATGCTATTTCTAGGTAAAGACAACAAGGCTCAAAGAAGAAAATTCAATGACTTGAAAAATTAGGACAGTAGTCATTGTGGACTTGAGGATTGCCAATTCTCAGTCTAATGTTCTTCTTGCTATAAAAAGTATACATTCTTCTGAATTGTGAAGGCATTATTTTTTTAAAATTCACTATTCTCTCCCTGAATTATATTTGCAAGTATGAGTACAGCCAAGACTATAGTAAAACACAGAGCACCATGTCGGGTGTGGTGGCTCAAGCCTGTAATCCCAGCACTTGGGAGGCTAACACAGGCAGATCACTCGAGGTCAGGAGTTCAAGATCAGCATGGTCAACATGGCAAAACCCAGTTTCTACTACAAATACAAACATTAGCTGTGCGTGGTGGCAGCATACACCCGTAATCCCAGCTACTTGGGTGGCTGAAGCTTAAGAATCACCTGAACTTGGGAGGCAGAGGCTGCAGTGAGCTGAGATCGCACCTCTGTACTCCAGCATGGGCGACAGAGCGAGATTGTCTCAAAAAACAAACAACAACAACAACAACAAAACCAAAATGTAAAGCACATACGGAATGTCTTTCTCCTAATGTCCAGCTTAGAGCCTCTCTGATAAGAGTCATGCTTACTATGGTCCTAAGTTGTTTATCAAAGAAACAGGACAAAATATTCTGGGATGCAGTGGCCATTAACTCTACTGTGCTTAGTGGTATTCTGCCTTCAACACAAGGTACACAATAGGTCCCCATTCTCTGCAATCCTAGAATGTCCCACAATATTCAAATGAGTTAAACTCTTCTCTGGGCAACTAAGGTTGATGTTCTATAGTAGCTAAGTCGGCATGTATCGACTGCCTTTGTCCCTTGTCTTCTAGTCAGTCACTGGGACTAAAGACTTCAAGGTGACACTGTAATCACTCTTAGAAAAAGCTATCTTGAAATTCAGTGTGAGTAGTTTCACAAAACACAAGATCTGGGGGGTGGGGGAGGACCAGAAAGTATCCAGTGTTCATCATTTGCTTACTCTCTCTGTAGGATCAAATCAATTCATTTTAATGTATGCTAGGTATGTATCACATATTTTCCTTATGTATTCAAAAGAACAATTTGGGTCTTCTTTTCATTCAAACACCTAACAAAGCATTATTCATATTTTGTCAAAAATGATCTTACAATGTTATTATTTAAGTACTTCTTGAATTTATAAGCACTATAAGATATATAATAAAGAGATAAATTCTTAGTTAAATGAGATGCAAAATACAGAACTGTCTCAGCACGAAGCTAAACTGTCACAGCAAATCAACTCATTTCATCCAGGTAAATAACAATACCAATATGCAATGAGACTACTTCAGAATTCACACTAAAATATCTCTTCATTATATAAGGACTTTGATCCATTTCCTTAATGTATTAAACATAATTACAAACTATTATATTCTTTAAAAGCATTACTAAAACAACTAAAAAATATCATTTTACTATATGGTCCTACTCTAAGAAAACATAATAGTCTATGAAAAACCTTGAGGGCAAAAGGCTAATTTAATATGAAAATACATTCCCGGTAATAGGGTAACAACTACCTTTAGTCAATTTTTCTTAGCTTACCAATCTTTAAGCAATTTATTTGAACGATACAAACATTTAAAAAATACCTTGAATTTCACATAAATTACTGATTAAGGAAGAGTAACAACTAGAAACAAAAAATACACAGTGACATAACTCACCTAAATAGGGAATGCAAGGTGTCATCTTTAAGCTACTTATATAGTCTCTGAGTCTTTTGTAGTTATCTTCTTTACTCATTACATATTCTAATTTTTCAAAGGTAGTTTTGTCTTTTCGACTTAATAACTAAAAAACAAACAGAAAAACCTAAGTTATTTACAATCTCATTTTGTTGTAGCAAAGACCTGAACTGAAGTTGTATTTACTGTGAATATGGATTTTAATTTCAAAGTTATATCTTCTTTAATTATATCTTCGTAGTATATAAACAAAATCAGTTTCATCTATTAATAATCCAAATTCATTATTTATAATTTATATCCTTTGCATGTACATAAAATTAATAAATTATGGTGGGTGTTGAACAATGAGAACACATGGACACAGGGAGGGGAGCACTAGGGTCTGTTGGGGGGAAATGGGGGAGGGACAGGGGGTGGGGAGGTGGGGAGAGATAGCATGGGGAGAAATGTCAGATATAGGTGAGGGGGAGGAAGGCAGCATATTACACTGCCACGTGTGTACCTATGCAACAATCTTGCATGTTTTTCACATGTACCCCAAAACATGAAATGCAATAAATTTTTTTAAAAAAATTAAATTATAACATTTTCATGTTAACTATTTTAAATTAATCAATTTTTATTAATCATCTTCCTAATTTTAGAAAATTATGCATTCGTATTTAGCTGAAATGTCCAAGTATTTTAATGAACTGTCCCTTGCCACCTCAAAGATAAAGATCATTCTTGCATAATCATTAAGAAATAAACACCAAATTTTATGATTTAATTAACACTTTTTCTTGATAAATCTAGTCATGGATTGTCCTAATAACTGTAAAGTCCTGTAATTCCTTATATTTTGGACTTCTGACATTTTCTTCTCTTTGATCAGTGCTACATCATATATAGCATAACTAAAAGATACTGTTGTAAGATGCTTGAGAGGTAGATTTGTAATAAGTGCCCTTTGAGATCAATGGAAATAATCAAGGGGAGTTTAAAAAAAAAAAAAAAAGCAAAGCCAGTGACCCGCAATGGTGTTCACTAAAAGGTTCAGGAAATAGTTTTTCAAATCATTCGAAAGACTGGAAAAAAAAATCTTCTTTGTAAACATATGACATTTCTATTTCTTTACTACATTAAGATTTCATTTTATTTCATATTAAAATATTGGTGGTGTTTTACAACACGCAAAACACTTCCACCTGTATAAGTCTCATCTAATTTTCCTACGAGATTAATAGGAAAGTATGAGTATTGATTCGGAGTTGAGGAGACTGAGATCACAAGGTTACCAAGTTGCAGCATTTAATACTCTCTGTTATCCACTCACTCACAAAGCTGTATGTCCTTGTTTTTCAGGGTCTCATTGTCTGGTTCTGGAGATAGGAGTATTCTGACACCTAATCCACTGCTCTTTCTAGTGTCATATGTAGTACAGTTGGGACCTATTGTTCAGATGCTCAAAGACGAAGATTATCTTCAGATAATCTCTATTAGAAAAATGTCTCAACAGTATTGCTCCCTCTTAAAATACAATGTTAAGCGGTCCTTTGCTTTAATGTTTTAGATGGATATTCCATGGTGAAAATAGGGGTACCTCTTTCAAGATACCTGATTAGCAGTCTCAAGATTAGGTGAAAATGCTTGCTTGCTGCCTGTAAATCTAACCATCCCTTTCCCACTTAAGAAAGTATTTGGGATATGCAAAATATAGTTATCTGATATAAGGATAATGATAAACCTGCTCTTTTTTCTTCCTCTAAGTCAATCATTCAAAAACTTTGGTACAGGCCAGGCACGGTGGCTCAAGCCTGTAATCCCAGCACTTTGGGAGGCTGAGGCGGGTGGATCACGAGGTCAAGAGATCGAGACCATCCTGATCAACATGGTGAAACCCCGTCTCTACTAAAAAATACAAAAAATTAGCTGGGCATGGTGGCGCGTGCCTGTAATCCCAGGTACTCAGGAGGCTGAGGCAGAATTGCCTGAACCCAGGAGGTGGAGGTTGCGCTGAGCCGAGATCGCGCCATTGCACTCCAGCCTGGGTAACAAGAGCGAAACTCCATCTCAAAGAAAAAAAAAAAAACTCTGGTACAGTATCAGGAGAAACAAATTATTTGGAACTCGTAACTATCTTGTCACAGCTGAAACACAAAACTGTTGTAACAAACTATATGGTCTAATACATAAAAAATAACATGATTTTGTAATTTTCATAAAAAAATCAATAATCAGATAAACAGAATTCAATCTGGGTTGTGGTAGGAGAGACTTGCTTGCAGAAGACTAGAGGAAGAATGTGTATGTAAAGAACTAATCAGATATTAATATATGTATTTCCTTACAGTTCAGAAACTCTATTAACTGTGAAGTCTTTTCTTTCTTCCTTTTCAAATCTTCTTTTGATATTTACAATGTTATCTTTATGAAGTCACTTTATTTTCCCCACCAAAAAAAAAATGGAAACGGAGGGGAGAAACAAAATACTTTACAGTGTTCTAACTCCACATGTCCTTGGCTCCCAGAACATGACAACTGGGGGCAAGGCTCTTCACACTTGCATTGGTATTAATGAAAGAAGACAGCCACAAAATTCTAGATGTTCCTGGCCAGATATCTGATATCACCTTACCACCACAAGCTGTTTTGGGGAAAGCCTGGATGAATGCCTGCTCATGTAATTCACCCCAGGAAACACTCTCAAAGATTATTCCTCATCACCTTGATTTGTAATTTCACACGATATGTACGAATGTGTGCATCTGCATAAATGAATATGTTATCTTGGACCTGGAGTGCAGATTAATTATAATCTTTTGTTTGTGATACTCAATTATTATTAGAGCGTGGTAAGACTTTGTTAAACTGGTTTAAACTTTATAACGAACAGACATAAATCATCTTCCATCCGATTGCCTTGACTGCCGTTAAGAGGTAACAAGTAACCACTACTCTGAATGTTCTGTTTATCACTGCCCTCAAATTTTATTTCATTTTGGCAAACTTTATTCCATTTTAACTTTTATTTCATTTTTAGTCTTCAGCAATTACCTGGTTCGTCTAACATTGTGATATTAAGGCTTCATCCATGAATTTGTAAGAAGCTATAGTTCACTCATTTTCACTGCTTCCATGTGTATCTTCTCCTTTACAAAATATCTTCATAATGCTAATTTTTCTTTTTTTTTTCTTTTTGCTTTGTTAGAGGTCTTTATATATTCTGGATGCAAATTCTTGTGTTGGACGTATTCTAGTTGGACAACTGTTGCACATATTTCCCCACCTCCCTGCATCCTCTTTTCAATTTTAAAATACCTTTTGATGAACAGAAATTCTTACTTTAACATGACAAAATTTATTAACTTTATTTTCTTTCATTATCTTTCTGTATCTTAAGCTTTCATAAGCTTTCTGTATCTTATCTAAAAAATCCTTACTTATCCCAAGCCAGAAATCTATTTATGCTAAACAAGAGAGATATTCACATATAATTTTCCTTCTTTTCATTTCACATTTAAGTCCTTAAGTAGTCATCTCACAAGATTTTTGTAAATGGTGTAGAGGCTTGATTGCATTTTTCCCCCAAACGGTGACCAATTTGCAGCTCCGATTAATAAACAGCCCCTCACTTCACCAACTTACAATGCCATCACTGTCATACAGATACGAGAATTCCATAAAAACAAGGAGGTATTTCTGGGTTCTTCATTCTGTTTCATTGGTAGATACGTCTAAACCTGCAGGAACCATACACTGTCCAAACAATATAGTATACCTTGACATCTGTCAGAGCAAGTGCTTATGTCCCCAACTCCCAGTGATGACTTCAGTTATTCCCGAACCTTTAAATTTCCATACAAATTTTATAACCAATTTCCCATCAGCAGTACTGGGGTATAACTGACAAATTTAAACTGTATATACTTGAGGTACATGTTTTAATACACATATATATTATGAAATTATCAAGCTATCAAGCTAATTAACATATTCATCATCTGACAAGTTAGTTACTTCTTATGTATGCATTAGTATATGGTAAGAACATTTAAGATTCACTCTCTTAGGCCAGACATCTTGGTTCAAGCTTATAATCCCAGTACTTTGGGATTACAAGGCAGGTGGATCGCTTGAGGTCAGGAGTTCAAGATCAGCCTGGCCAACAAGGCAAAACACTGTCTCTACTAAAAATACAAAAATTAGCTGGGTGTGGTGGTGGGCGCCTGTAATCCCAGCTACTTGGGAGGCTGAGGCAGGAGAATCGCTTGAGCCTGGGAGATGGAGATTGCAGTGAGCCAAGATTACGTCACTGCACTACAGCCTGGGTGATAGAGCAAGACTCCATAGAAAAAAAAAAAAAAAGATCCTCTCTCTTTTTTTTGAGTCGGAATTTCACTTTTGTTACCCAGGCTGGAGTGCAATGGCGCGATCTCGGCTCACCGCAACCTCTGCCTCCTGGGTTCAGACAATTCTCCTGCCTCAGCCTCCTGAGTACCTGGGATTACAGGCGCGCGCCACCATGCCCAGCGAATTTTTTGTATTTTTAGTAGAGACGGGGTTTCACCATGTTGATCAGGATGGTCTCGATCTCTTGACCTCGTGATCCACCTGCCTCGGCCTCCCAAAATGCTGGGATTACAGGCATGAGCCACCACGCCCGGCCCCTACAATATAGTCTTATTAACTATAGTCAACTATAGTCATCATGCTGTACATTAGATCTCCAGAACTTACTCTCTCTCCATTAGTGATCCCTAATCTTTTTGGCACCAGGGACCAGTTTTGTGGAAGACAATTTTTCCATGAACATAGATGGGGAATGGTTCAGGGATGAAACTGTTCACCTCAGATCATCAGGCATTAGATTCTCATAATGAGCACAAAACCTAGATCCTTTACATGCTGAGTTCATGATAGGGTTCATGCACCTATGAGAATCTAATGCTACTGACGACGTGACAGTGGGTGGAGCTCACCTGGTAATGCTCACTTGCCTGCCACTCACCTCCTGCTGTGTGGCCCAGTTCCTAATAGGCCACGGACCATTACCTGTCAGCAGCCAGGGTTTGGAGACCCCTGTTCTATATAACAGAAACTTTGTACGCACTGACCCAACAT